GGGACCCGTAGCTGTCCTTTTTGGTGTCAGTTTGGCTGCCTTTAAGTCTGCTTCTGACTGTCCAAACGCTGGTCACCACACCTGGGATCTCTCTAAGCCCTTCTTTGAGTTTAGCACCACTCAAATGTCGATTTCTCAGGGATTTCGATACAAGAAATCGATTATCTCGATTATATGAATACGAATATCTCGATTATCTCGAATCGACTATACGTAGAGTTCTAGTTTTCTTTTTATTTTGTTTTCTTATTAATTAATTGTTTTCTGCTATTGTTATTGTAAAAATAAATGTACAGTCCTACAAATTTAAATATTATGCCTCTATCTATGAGTATGAAATAATTATTATAATATTACATTCATAAATAATTTGTTCTTTGTATTATATATTATGATTACTTTTGGTCATATTAACGTAAGATCACTCACTGCACATTTTATTGAATTCAAAAACTGTGTCCTTTTAAAAAAATTTGATATCTCAGCAGTTAGTGAAATTTGGCTTACAAATTTCATTAACCGATAAGGATATACGTATAGAGGGGTATAATGTAATAGGAAGAGATATAAATAGAACTGGGGGAGGTGTAGCATTTTATATTAAATCTAAAATTAAATATAAAACTCTACAAACAAATAGTAACAATATTGAACACCTTTGCTTAGAATTATTCTTACGTAATAAATCATATGGATTGTGTGTTGCATACAAACCACCTAAATTGATTATCAGACATTTTGTTGACGAGTTTGAGAATATACTATCTGACATTATGCCTTTGGTTGAAACATAATATTGTACTGGTGACTAAATGTTAATTTATTAAATACGGATTGTCCTGATACTAAGATTGTCTCTGATTTTTTTTAAACAACGGTGTTACATCAAGTCATAGATCAACCGACTAGAGTCACAGATAGTATTGCAATCCTTATTGATTATATGTTAACCACTAAACGAAATTCGATTCGTGATATTGTCGTGGAATATGTTGATTTCAGTGACCATGAGTTATTGATATCAAAAATAAACATAGAAACTAAAAAGAAAGAAGTTGTTCATAAAACTGTCCGAAACTTTAAGGCAATAAACCATACCATATTTAATGAAGAATTAGTCTCTACCTTGGCAAAATATTTTTGATATTGAGAGTGTTGATGATAAAGTTGAATTTCTTACTAATAATGTAATATGCTTACTGGATCCTCATGCTCTGTACGTAACTTATAAAATTTCGAAAAATTATGCACCATGGATGACTGATACTTTACGTGTTATGAAAAGAGAAAGGGACAAAATACTGAGTACGTACAAAAAATACAAAGACATTCAAACTTGGGAGGAATACAAAACGATTAGAAATATGTTTACTTTAGCTGTCAGAAGAGAAAAAAGCCTTCTATTCAAACAAATTGGATAATAAAAACATGAAAGATCTTTGGGATTCTTTAAAAATGATGCAGCCAAATACCCTGTATAATGTCAACGGAAACATAATAACAGAACTAGAAGAACAGTTGAAGACATGGAAAAACTATATTGAAGAACTCTTTGCAGATGATAGACAGCAATCTGAGCTAAGTAACATACAAGGAGACGAAGGTCCAGAAATAACGGAAGAGGAAGTAATGTACGCACTAAAAAGAATGAAAAATGGTAAAGCCCCAGGTCCAGATGAAATACCAACGGAAATCCTTAAACTAATAGAAAAAGACTCGATTCGCATTTTAGTTGAACTTTTCAATAGCATTTATACATCAGGAAAAATACCACAAGAATGGCTTTTATCCACCTTTGTTATTATACCAAAAAAGATAAATGCCAAACAATGTAGTGATTACCGTACAATCAGTCTGATGAGCCATGTACTGAAAATATTCCTGAAAATTATACACTCTAGAGTACACACAAAACTGGAACTGGACATCAATAATACCCAGTTTGGATTCCGAAATGGACTCGGAACAAGAGAGGCGTTGTTTGCACTGAACGTTATGTCTCAAAGATGTCTTGACATAAATCAAGATGTATTCATGTGTTTCATAGATTACAACAAGGCCTTTGATAAAGTGCGGCATGATCACCTAATCAGACTCCTGACAGAAAAGAATTTAGATAAACGAGACATCCGACTAATAGCAAATATGTACTACAATCAGAAAGCAGTAGTGAGAGTAGAGAATAATACCACTGAAGAAATTGAAATAAAGCGAGGTGTGAGACAAGGGTGTATACTGTCACCAACCCTGTTTAATCTCTATTCCGAAGACGTAATGAATAGAACACTCTCTGAGCAATCCGTAGGTATTAAAATAAATGGTGTTAGATTAAACAATCTGAGATTTGCCGACGACACCGTTCTGATCGCAGAAACACTTGAAGAGCTACAGACATTGGTGAATAAGATAGCAGACTGCAGCGAAGAATATGGACTATCTTTGAACATAAAGAAAACGAAATTTATGGTAATATCGAAATCAACACAAAATGTCCAAAATTTATATTTACACAATGAAATTATCGATCGAGTTAGCAAATACAAATATTTAGGCACTTTTATAAATGAAGACAACGATAGCTCAGCGGAAATCAAAATAAGAATAGAAAAAGCCAGATCCATATTCACTAAAATGAAGAGAGTGTTCTGCGGAAGAGATTTGAGCCTTGAAATGAAACTTCGCCTGATGAGATGTTACGTACTTTCTGTGCTGTTTTACGGAATGGAGTCATGGACGTTAAAAAAGATTGATACCAAAAAATTAGAGGCATTTGAACTGTGGATGTATCGCAGAATCCTGAGAATATCATGGACCGAGAGAGTCACAAATGTCGAGGTCTTGAGAAGAATGAACAAAGAAAAGGAAGTCATATTTACAATCAAAAAACGAAAACTGCAATACTTGGGCCACATTACAAGAGGCGAAAGATATGAACTGCTTCGAATAATTATGCAAGGGAAAATAGCAGGAAAAAGGTCCCTAGGAAGAAGACGAAACTCCTGGCTAAAGAATCTACGGGAATGGTATAGTTGTAGCAACAACGAATTGTTTCGGTCAGCAGTTTCGAAAATACGTATAGCCCTGATGATCGCCAACCTTCGGAACGAAGATGGCACTTGAAGAAGAAGAAGAAGAAAAATGATAGGTCTTGGTAGAGATACTGATAATACTAAGCAACTATCAGAAAATTTAAGTGATATTTCTGCAATGAATGAATACTTTATAAATTGTATTCCTAATATGAATCCTGATTTAACAATTAACAACTTTTATAATAATAATTTTCGTGTAGACATAGGTGCAAATTTCTCTTGTATCCAAGAAAGTGGATAATTTGGGCTCCCAGCCTGATTCTGTCTCCGGCTTCTATAATATAAAAATGTAGCTTCTCCAATTTAAATTTGTTTGTGTTTGTTTGTCTTTAGTGTATTTGTTATGTCCCAGTTTACATGTATGACATTCGGTTATTGCTGAATAGGCCACAATTGACGAAATGCCCCTGAGGATGATCTTGTGATCGAAAGTACTTGGGCAAGATTTAATTAAATACTGTGTTCGATATTTGCCTTGTGTACCATCAAAGTTCATTTATTCGAACATTCAACCTTATATTGAATAAAGTAATTATTATTATTATTTTTAAATACTTTGATAATAAACCATCGTCATATCCTCAAATTTGTAAGACTCACCGAGTCAGCTAAGTGGCAGTTGCAGAGCTCCTATTGGTTGGTTGGAAATAAGCTGGTTAGCATGGACATAAGTTATAGAGAAGTATAGTGGAAATAAGTTGTTTTTCATGTAAAGGTGGTTTTTAACATTCTTTTACCGTTGGTAATAATTTTTTTTTTTTGCATAAATCTGATAAAATAAACCACTTTGGCTACAGCAGAACAATGCATTGGCACATCTAACTCAACCTTGATTTTTGTGTGACTTAAGACTGTTTGCATGTTCCTCCCCATATACATTGATGGTACGCTATATACATTATATATGTACTATACGTCTCACGTCGTTTGATTTGATGTGCCATATGCTAGTGTTAGACTAGTTGTTTATTTTGTTCTCAGTCAGAGGCCTTCTTCAGGTCACCAAAGAAATTTACCTTATGTTTATATATATATATATATATATATATATATATATATATATATATATATATTATCTATAGTGTCATTTGATATGTCGTATGTCGCTATACGTTAATTATTGACGTAGATGATGTGTAGTGCCCTTTTGATAGCCTTTGTTTGTTTTTTTATCTGAATATATTCGTTTTATCCTCCCCTTTTATCTGCTATGTCGCATGTTAGGATTAGATCAGTTGTTTACTTTGTACTCAGCCTTGGGCCTTCTTTAAATCAATAAATCTGTCTTTTAGCGAAACTATTTGTAATAGTATTCTCGTGTCCACAGTGTCTCGTAAGACATCTCGTATGTAACTATATGTTTATTAATAATGCAGACACTGTATAGTTCCCTGTTGGTAGTCGCCTTGTTTGTTTTTTTCTATCTTAATACATTCGTTATATCCTTCTCCTTCATTTAACGCAGCACACGCTCCAATCAGACCAATAACAACGGAGATATGATGTAACGCCCTTTTGGCAATGCCGTAATGTGTGTTTTTCTGTCTCAACATATTCGCTATCCCCTCTGCTTTTCAATGATGTATAGCCGATTTTTAACAGGTATAGCTTTTACTTAATTTTATTTAATTTTCCATAATTCCGTTTAACTTGATTTAAGTTTATTTAATTTTATTTTTTATATTTATGTTGGTAAAAAGTTGACCTTTATGAAAAAAGGTTATGAACAAATTGTGCCAGCTCACACTCATAAGAAGTTATATAGAACAAAATGAGAGAGAAAACTAAACCATTTTTAGAAAATCTACAAGTTGTCATCAAATTAATAAGCTCGTCTTTAGTCTATTTAATAAACATTAAGAATATAGTATTTTTTGTTAATTATAAAATATAAATAACCTTCCGTACCTCTTGTGCAGCTTTCTTCAGCTCCCACTCCACGTTACTATTGTCTGGGACTGCAGCGTTAGCAGCAACTGTCTTGGGACTAAACTTAGTAGCGTCTTCAGCGGTGCCTTCTGCCTGATCAGGCGGCAACTCGAAGACACACTTCAACTTGGAATCCATCAGTTGCTCAGGAGTGATTTCCTTCCACAGCTGGTCCATGTTGAACTCCGATTCGGGAGCAAATGCTGTCTGCACCATAAATTTGTGTTTGTTCTTTTCCGCCGTGTCGAACACCAACGGTTGTGGTTGGAAGAAAACTACAAATAGAGAAAATTAAATGATACCTGAGGATTTTCTTCTCAGAATCAAACATTTTTTTATAAAATAGTAAATTTGATGGATATAAAATCATATACATTAAAAACTTTGAATTTCCGAGAAGGAAATGGAAAATTGTGCTTTAAAACCCGAAACCAAGGTTGAAGGATACCTTGCGATAAATGAAGAAAGCTTAAGATGGATAATAAAATGATAATTAAGTTCAAAAATTCATACATTAGCAAAAGAAAATTTCCAATGTGGGAAACAAATATATAGTGTCTAAAAATCAATAAAACAATTAAATGGAAGCAATATTTGAAATGAAAATAAACTAATAAATATAGATAAAGTTAATAAGTAGTTATTAAACAGGTGTATTAAAAAAGTGTAACCATATAGAAAAAATGTTGAGACCTCTTGTAGATTGCATGTTTTAGTCCAAAATCTCAGACGCTCCGGTTAGGAGATACGTTTGTTACTTAATTAGGTTATAAATACCTGTTTCAGGTATTTATTACGTCAGCGAACAATTATCCTTCAGTTGCAGACAATGTTCGGTCATTTCCTGTGCATTTTCGCAGAAGCTGCATGTAGCCCTTTCCACTTGCAAAGATGATGAGTATGCAGTGTCCAGTGGGAATATGTGTGATTATTATTGTTCTGAAGCTAGTTTCTTGTGGCATTTTAAAGTACTTACTATTTAAATGGTAATAAGCCACAATTAAAGGTTAGAGTATGTTGTTTATTGACGTTTTAATTTCCACTTCGGAATTGGTAAATTTAGTAAATTACTATTATCCTGCATTTTAAATTTTACCCATAGAAGTCCATAATAAGTGCATATCACTTTTAACGCATACAATAAAACATATATGAATATAATTCACTCCTCTATTTTCAATCTACATGTAGAAATAACAAATTGTTATAAATCTTGGTTATTCTTCCTTTTCTCTATGTTTTTTTACTTTTTCTACATATGCGATCATAACAATATACTTATACAAAGACAATCTTTAATAGTAACACTGTGAGCAGAATCATTTCTTTTCGTCTCATATGATTAAAGATTACGCTTATTTGGAGAACAGTACGAACGGCTCTAAAGTAACTAAATCTGCACCAAAGATTTGTCCAACTAACATCATCTGTTAGTTGGACTTGTCCAACTAACATCATGATCATATCATTTGAATGATAGTAAATATTAGTTTTTACAGGCCAAAACACAAATGTTTTTTACAATGATAAAGTATTAACAGCTTGAACTTCTTTCATAAAAGAATGAACTGAACAACATTTAAAAATGTAATGGTTTATACGACTTTTTATATGTCATACGAAAATAATTTTGTTTTATGATAATTGGTACGATTTTATCAGAGGACCAGATGTTTGTTTGTAAATAGCACTGTAAAAACAGCGATAAATTTAAAAATATTGTATCAATATCCTGGTAAAAGCTCCCAAACTCATTATCAAACGAATCTTATCAATTCTAATTACAATTTTTTTTTATTTAAAAGCGATATAAAAAATCTTGTTTCTAATTCTTGGTTACAGTTTGAATTGCTACAGCTTGCATGAGTGCAAATTTTATCCTTTGAGATGAATTTACTTTAGAGAACGTAAATGCCATATATCCATGACATCTTTTAAAACTGATAGTGACAAAAGTGTATGAAGATCTAACAAATGTTAAGGGAAATTTGTGATAAAAAGCGAGATAATAAATAAAAAAATTGGCAGTTAATAAACATGTCCTGCGAAGTGTGAAATATCTTTATTATAAGAGGATAATCTGAAAGTAAGGTATAGTTTCAAAATTGTAGGTGTAAGTTATCAGAAAATATGCTGACATTTCAGCATTATTCTGGATACTCCAGTGGCGTACGAAAAATTCATGAATTTAATGCGAAGCTGTTGAATACATTTTAATTGTCTGGAATAGGGTAACTAGTCCAGGAAAGGAAGGTGGGAAAGATAGGCGGTAAAGATAGGTAGAAAGGGTTGTTAGAATATTTGACCTAATTCCGTGTAAACAGAACAAAGAAGGGGTTTTAGCTAGAGAGTTGTGATAAAAGGACATTTGTATATTAAAAATTCTTCTGATATAAATATACCCCTAATCAACTATAAAACTCTAATGTGAAATGTCTATTCACACTTAACTAAAAATTGGCAGATACCGATCCTAGTCGTTCAACCTTAAGCTATGTGTCTCGAATCAAAAAAAGGTACTACCCTTGAAATTTAGATCGATATCTGATCATATCTGGTCGGGTCAAATAAAACAATGAAGCAGGAGAGGTGATGGCATAATAATGAGGCAGCTTTTGAATGCAGTCCCGGCATTGGAACTCGCCAGAGGCGAGTATATCGCCACAAAACCCTATCTAACCTAAACTAATTGCAGCCATAGCACAACAAAACTAATATACCTCAAAACTTATCTTCTGAGTATTTTATGCTCTATAACCAGACAACTTAAACTACATGTTAATATAATCATTTTTAATAGGTACTTTTAACATAAACTAAACACAGATGAAATTAATTATAGGGGGAACTGAAAATACGACGCAGTTAGAGGCAATAAAGACAGTCTATACACGTATAGTGGTAGAGCACAGTCAAAATTTTTAAAGCAGTTATTACTAGAAAACTGAAAACGCTACAAGTGAGTGTCTTGAGAAGGGTTTTTCAAAAATAAAACAAGAGTCGAAGTTAGTTCATAGCAATCATGTCTTATAACGGGGCTAAATGAAGAATCTAAAACCCTAAAAGTGCTACATGCGATATTCGCAAACAGAACGGACAGGTGGTGCAAGCTGAGCACGAGACTAGACATGAAACAAAACAGCAGACGCGCTGAGAATTAATTCGGAATCTTGGCAACAATCCCGCTGGCCCTGCACCTAATCTGGCAAAAGTCACACCCGATCAGACAGCTCATCGTCTCCTGATGAATGGTAAGACGACATCAAGGAAGATCAAAGTGAGAGTACAACGAAATATCGACGAAGAAGAGGATGTTCTAGGTACCTAATTTGGTCTGAACCAGATGAGAGGTGCGATCCACCAAATGAAAGATAATAAAGCGGCTGGCCTAGACAATATACGAACAGAACAAATAAAGCACTTTGGACCACAAACCCTAGAGTTGTTCGTAAAAATGATGAACTGTTGTGTCCGTATATCCCAAATCCCCAAAATCGGGAGGAAAGCTAGAGTGCCCTCTTAAAACCAGGCAAGGATCCGGCGGATACAAAGAGTTTTAGACCTGTCTCTCTTTTGTGTCACCTTTTCAAGGCGTCCGAAATAATGATACTGAACCGGATCACTGAATCTGTGGACGTTAAAATTATTCCTGAACAAGCAGGGTAGACCCGGAAAATGCTGCTGCAGTCAAACACTTAATCTCACCCAACATATTAAAGATGGGTTTGAACGGAAAGAAATAACAGAATTTGCGTTCATAGACCTGACTAGCGCCTATGACACAGTTAACCATCAACGGCTGCTGGCAAAACTCCTAATAATAAAAAATACTTAAAACATTTATATGAAACAACAATAAGTAAGTATTTGTTTCTTTGGAGATTAATTGCAGTTAATTATTAAAAAAATTTTTAGCAGTTATCGTTTGAGAGATTAGGGGATAGATTCGGCAATCGTTAAATTAGCAGTTGCCAGATTACAAAAGATGTTTGCAATTAATCTCGAAAGAGACAAATATCTACTCGTTATTACTTCATATATCATAAAAATTGCAGAATTCATAAAATAGTACAATCAAAATGTACTTTTTAAAAGCTTTCTCTCTTTATATTTGAAGCATTCAATACAGGCAATATAAAAACATTCCAACACTGCCAAACCCAATATTTGTGACATTTGCGGCTACATTCAGCTTGTACTTTCGGTAAACTCAACCAAACATTTCCCTATTTTTATATATGTGAGGCCAATATAACTCTTTCGTTACACTTGGTTTACAGTTATTTGTAGTTAACAATCCTTGCTTAAAAACAACCATACTGCATGTCAATAATAATCAGATTTATTTATTTAATATATTTATATCGTTCAGGCCTAGACACAAGTCATTATTAAAATATTACTAATACATAATATTTAAATAAATTTTATACTTACTTGAAATCTCAGTGTGAGAGTTGGGTTCTAAAATGCCAGAATTGGGACGCACACAATATTTTTTTGGAGCTGTAGTCTTAATTTTATATACTACTCTTTTATCGGTAGGGTTGGTAAGCTTCATATATGTCCCAGAAGGTTCATTAAAAGGACCTGAAATTTTAAAATATAAGTAAAAAATTTATAAATGAAATATTTTATAATTCTACTAAAATATAGAAACATATAAAAGCTGAACATATTAGGTGGTCCGATAAGTAACCTTATTTGAAACGAAAAGCACGTTTTTCCAGAAAATTCTTTTATTTAATTCTATATTGTCTCTAAACAATCTCCAAAGTAATCCAATTTTCGTTTTTTGTTGTTGTAATATGTGCTTCATATTCTTTTCTCAATATGTGGAGAACCTTTTGGGGTTCGCAGTATTCATCTATAACACCACATCTCAAATTCTTCCAAAAGATTTCAAGCTTTCACTCTGTATGGAAAAACCGGAACTATGTAACCCCAAATTTTGTTATTAGACAGAGATGTCCACTTTCAAAAATCGAGTTCATCTTTTTACCATTTGGTATGTTTAAAAATATGGGGCCTTTTATAAAAATCTTTAGTTCTCCACCATTGAATTCAAATATCTGTACAGTTGGTTGCCTATCTACATTCACAACTTTTATCAACCTTTAGTCCACCTGCAATATTACCCAATTTAGAAATTTTCCAACAAACTTTTAGGATAAATCATACTCTTAATTACACATATTTTTGATTGCTACTGTTATAATCAATCAAAGTTTAATATATTTAATTATACATTTTACTGGCTACTATTATACTTAGACACATACCTCCTGTTATATTGACTGCTTTATTCAAACCTACATCCTAATATGTCATTTTAATCAGTTGTTATCAACAAGCCCTCACAGACACTTTCTCTAAGGACTAGCAACTCCAATGAAGCCTTACGTTGCCATGTAAACAATTCCTTTTATAACTTAAACATCATAGCTTTTAATTATCAAAGATGTAACTCAGTGTTATTCAAACTACATTTAAGGGGTTTTTACCCCTATATTTAGTGGCAATATAACATGTATATCCAGTAGGTATTCATCCATCCATCAATTTTTAATAATAATCTTGTCAAAAATTTTAACTTTCACATTTGATTTAATTCAAGTGGTAAATCTTATTTTATGACAGCACTGATGATGCAATAGTTATTCCGAAAAAGTTCTGTGATGTAAACCACTAAAATAGGGTTTTTATTATTATACCTTTTTAAAAAGGAATTTTTTATTATATAACTATACAACCACCTACAGGAATTTAGTTTCTTTGTGGAATTTGTTTTAGATCTTCCACACATTCGGCTATTAGGAGAGTGTCATCAGCAAATCGTATATTGTTGTCATTAGTTATTCCAAAACTTTATTGATTATTCCTTGTGAATACAGGATGAAAAGCAGAGAAAACAATACACAGCCTGTCTAACAAGTCTTTTAAATAACCTTTATTTCCTCTGAAAACTCATTTTCTTTTAATACAGCTTTCTCATTATAATAAAGTTTTATGTTAATTCCGGTATTTCTTATATCTAAGCTATTCAAAGTTATGATTGACTTTATCAAAATCCAAGAAACAAGTAATCTCCAATGTATGACTTTTAGAGAGTATTTTGAGTCAGTGTATGACTCAATAAAGTGATTGTTTTATAACCTTGACATTCTTCTAAGCATATGTACAAGCCTATTAATTTGTTCAAATATAAAAACTATTGTAGTGAAACAAACACTACTCCAAAATGTTATTCCACAAAAACACATCCTTACTATTAATTAAATACTACCTAATTAATAAGGTAACAAAACTAAATTATATAAAAAGGAAAAATGACTGTTATTAAAGCCAAAATGACATGCCAAAATGTGTTTTACAGGTGACACAGTAGGAAGGACAATATGATAAGATGAAACAAGTCAAATCAATGAAACAAGTAGGGCAGGGAGATATTTAATTAATTTTATTGTGAACAACTACCAATCAATAGAACTAAATAACAGAAGTCTAGAACTAGGCTTATAAAAATATATACACAGTTTAAATCAGAACAAATTCCAAAAGAACATATATAGAACAAATATGCAGAATAACAAACAAAAATCTGCAAAGAAGATAACAGGAAACAAGGATTAAAAAAAGTATGACCAAAAAAGAAATTATGCAATCAATATATTACTAAGTAAAAAAAACTATAATCTGTCTTAAGTATTCATAGAGTAAGAAACATCCGTATATTTGTTTACGTCCATCCATTATAAAGAGGAAAATGCAACAAGAGACTATTATGGTAAAGGAATTGCCAAGTCAAGAAAATATGTTGAAGAGATTTGTTGTATCGGCTCCCTTTGAATATAAGGATGACATGTATAAACCAGAGTTTTGGCCTAATGGTGTTGGCATAAAAAGGTTCCAGATGCATCGTCATAAGGATTTTCTAGATAACAGAGGTGGAAATTTTTCATAGGAGAAAATAGAGAGCACAAGACACATCAACACAAGGAAATTGAAATACAAAACACAGTCACACGAGCAAAGAATATAAGTATCATCCACCAGAACCTCCAATCCATAGGAAATTGTATTGATGAAATAGAAGAACTTCTAACAAACAACAGTGACTGTAAAATATTGTGCACAACAGAACATTGGAAAACTAAAGAAGAATTAAGTGAATATGGAATTAACAATTTTGTGCTGACAGCTAGTCATTGTAGAAATAATGTGAATGAACATGGAGGAACAGCTATATATCTTAGTAAAGACATCATTGGCCAGGAAAGAAAGGATATACAAGAGTTATCAGTAGATAGGGTAATAGAGTGTGCTGTATGCGAAGCTAATATAGGTAATAACAAACTCATTATAGCATCAGTTTACAGACCATCAGGTAGCGATCTGGCAGTTTTTTTAAACAAATTTGATATTATACTGGGAAGAATTATGATAGAAAACACAATTATAATTATAGGGGGAGATTTCAATATCGATCTTAAGAATAACACATTAGATAAAGTAAAATTTTGTATGTTAATTAACTCATATAATATTTGTCATGTAATTGAAGACTACACTAGAGTAACTGCCACATCTAAAACTTGTATAGATAACATACTAACAAATATGCAATCATATGTGTCAGTAGAAGTCTTGCACGCTGGAATCTCTGATCATTCTGCCCAAAAATTAACTTTTCAGGTAGAGGAAGCAGAAATGAATACTCTTGAAATGAAAAGACATTTTAGTACACATAATATTGAAACCTTTATAAGTAAATTACATAATCATGACTGGATTAATTTAAGTTACAAATGTGTAAATGATCAATGGAATACTTTCTTAAATCAGTTTCTGTATATATTCAATCAGTGCTTTCCTTTTAAAAAGTTAGATTCTAGGCAACGTAAAAAAAGGCCTTAATAAAAGAGATGATCCAGAGATAATAGAATGTAAGACTCGTTTAGACATCTTGTTTACAATGAGCAGAGTTAACCATAAATTCTATGATTCCTATAGACAGGTAAAAAAAGAATATAATAAGAAACTAATAACAAAACGATCAAAGCTATATGAAAACAGGATATCTGAAGCTGCCAATAAAAATAAATGCATGTGGCAAATTGTTAGTGAAATTAATGGTCGATTAAAAAGTGTAAATTCAATAAAAGTAGAGGGTAGTCCTCAAGAGATTGCTGATAAATACATGATACACTTAAATACTTCTTTAAATAACACTTTATCTCAATTACAATACACTGAATATAAAGACAACATAGCAAGTAACATAAATTCAGTGTTTGTCGCACCTGTGACAGAAACTGAAATTATGGATATAACTAAAAATTTAAAAAACAAAATGAGTTGTGGAATTGATGAAATACCCACTAAAATCCTTAAACTTTGTATAAAGGAGATAGTGAATCCTCTCACTACAATCATTAATAATTCACTAAAATCTGGTGTATTTCCTGAATGCCTGAAAACTGCCATAGTAACACCTGTTTACAAAAAGGGTGATCCTAAATTAATTAATAACTATAGACCAATTAGCCTTCTATGTTCCTTTTCAAAAATCTTAGAAATGACTATGTATAGGCGGATAACAGAATTTTTAACAAAATGTCATATTATTAGTGCAAATCAGCATGGTTATCAACAGGGAAAATCAACTCAGACTGCGATTTTTCAATTTGTCTGGGATATTTTGAAATGTACTGAGATTGGTCATATGGCTTTGGGTCTCTTTTTGGACCTATCAAAGGCATATGACTGTTTAGTGCATGACATATTATTTGATAAATTGGAGAAATATGGTATACGTGGACCAGCATTGAACTGGTTTAAGTCCTACTTGGCAAATAGGAGACATTTAGTAAAAATACATAAAAACACTGAAATCGGCATCTCATCTGAAAGCACTATCAATATTGGAGTACCACAAGGAAGTGTGATTGGTCCGTTACTGTTTGTGATCTATATCAATGATCTTCATGGTCTAGTGGCTAATACTACTTCCAGCATAACAAATTATGCAGATGATACTAACATTTTAGTCAGTGGTAAAGACATGTCTGTTCTAAGCGTTAATGCTAGTTTAGAGTTCCAGAAAGCTAAAGACTGGTTTTCTATGAATAGGTTGGTTTTAAATCAAAATAAAACAGATCTTCTTTTGTTTAAGACAAATTATGCACATTCAGATATGCCAAACAGTATTATTGTAAATAATGACACTTTAAATATTAGCAGCAGTACCAAATTTTTAGGATTATATATTGATAGTTTTTTATGTTGGGATAAACATGTTGACCAGTTATGTATGTCTTTGAGTAAAGTGATTTACAGCTTTAGAGTTCTAAAAAAATACATGAATAGTAACTCATTAAAAACAGTGTATCATGCTAATTTTGAAGCAAAATTTAGATATGGTCTAATAAATTTTGGACACAGTAGGGACATAAATAATGTATTTCTGGTTCAGAAAAAAATAATCAGAGTTATGTTTAACTTAAAAAGTAGGGAATCATGTAGAGGGCATTTTAGGAGTAATAATATTTTAACAGTTTATGCTGTATTTATTCAAGAATGCTTACTGT